GGGGGGGTGGGGGGGATGATGACGTACAAACAGACTGCGACATTGACATGACATGGATGCCGTGTGAAGCTGCGGTCGCCCCGGTTCAGAAGCTCAGGGCACTTGAGGAGCCATGGGGAAGAAGAAGTGGACTCGTCCACGCAGCGGCCCTGGTGCTTCGTTAAAGCGAGGAGCTCTTCGTCTGAAAGCGACAAAAACAGAAGCTCGTTCCGGCAAGAAGCACGCAGACTACGTTCCGAAGTCTCAGCTTGGGGAGCCTGAGGCACGTCGAGGACGTGAGAAGCTTGTCGTCGCGGGCTCTGCGCTGAAGCAGATGACAAACCGGCAGCTCAAGCAGCACTTGGAGAAGCTTGGACACGTGCCTCAACTGAAGGCAGGCTCTGCGTGCTTGTTTTGCGGACACAAAAGCCTCAGTGTCCACGGCTGTCCTCCACTTCCGGCGGTGCTCAAGGGCTGGAGTGCACGCTACTTTCGGTGCACACGCAAGTGTTGCCACAAGCAGCAGCACTTTCTCTCCAACTCACCGGTCTTCTACGTCGGTCGAGGTACCGACGTGCCACCTCTGCGGCAACAAGTGACGGTCCTGTGGCACTTGGCTTGGCGGACACCCGGCCGGCTTCTACGCGCCGAGGTTGGTTGCAACGAGAAGCGCATTGAGAACATGCGCCACCGCTGGCAGGGAGTCCTTAGCAAGTTCGTGGAGGAGACACAGAGTCGCAGTCAAGGTGGTGACTTTCAGCAAGTGGAAGTAGACGAAACCGTTGTGCGGAAACAAAAGGTGGGTGACACAGTGGCTTGGCAAACCTTTGTCGGCTCCAAAGTCCGAGGACAGCGCAAGTCCTTGGTGCTGCAAAAGCGCGGCTTCGCAAACAGCTTGTCGAAAGTCAGGCCCAGTGGTCTTTCGGCTCCTCCGCCGCTGACAACGGCAGAGTGGCAGAGCTTTGCGTCGGAGCACTTGCAGTCCAACACCGTCGTGCACACGGACGGCGCCCAGGCCTACTGCGCTCCTGTTCCGAACCTGCACCTCCGGCACGACAGCGTCAGCCACAGTACCAAGAAGGGCGGCCCGTACTTCACCAAGAACTGCACTCACAAGGGCGTGAAGAAGGTTGACAAGCGCAAGAGCAACCTCAAGACAGTGGCAGGAACACAGTGCATTGACGGTACCTGGACTTCCCTGAAGCGCTCCTGCCTGGGAGTCAATGCCAAGTATCCTCACAAGATCGAAGATCATGTCCGTGAGGCACAGTTTCACTCGTGGCAAGGCTCTGCCGACCCCTGGCACGCTATGGGGAGCGTGCTGCGTTGGCACCGAGACTCCGTGAAGGTTTGAAAGAAGCAGGCTTTGCAGTCTCGCCGAGTTTGTTAGCTTCTGTCAGTCTGCACTGTCTCCTTGCTCTGAAGTTGCTGCTATATGTCCGCAGTTTTGTAGGCATGGATGCTGATACTTATGATCGCTTCCAAGGGGTCATTGACTTGTTGACGCCTCCCCGGGCCAAAAGAGCTCGAACATGCGGTGATGGCGATGATGCCACTACAGCATCTTCCTCTGCGGCTACTTCGACAGATCGGGCCACTCTCCAGCCACAGCTCGACCCAGGGGCAGCCCTGGGTGCCTTGATAGCCAAGAAGCACAATGCGCAGGCAACAGGTCAACTAAACATCTTCCTAAACCCTTAACCCTAAACCCTAAACCCTTAAACCCCTAAGCCCTAAACCCTATAGTGTAAACCCTAAACCCTAAACCCCTAAAACCTAGAGAAGAAACGCAGGACCTACCTCTTTGCGTGAGTCTTTTACGTTTGCGGCAGCGGAAGATTCCTTTCTTGGTACTTCCTGTGCACTGGAGAAACCCTACTGATGAGATGGCCTTTTGCAGGGAGATCATAGAAGCAGCTCACTTGAAGACAGTTGCCACGACGTCCGCTGCGCTTCGCAACAGAGCCTTCGACGCTGCCGTGGTCCTTGCTCGCCGCGAGGTGGCTCTCCAATCCGCACTTCAAAACATAAAGCCCTGAACAACCCAAAACCCTCAACCCTTAACCCTTCACCCTAAACCCTAGACCCCAAAACATACATCCTGAACTGTAAGCCCCGATACCCTAACCCTTATGTTTGCTCCTCTAAGTTTTTGCCGGCTGGCCAAACTCCAGGCCGATCTCTTGACAGAGCTTGGTCTGCCGCAACAGGCAGAAGTGTGGCGAAAGTCAATCTCTTCTGTGACAACAGCCCGCATGAACATAAGTCGTTTTGGTGTAGCTTTTCGTTTGAGCGATGTGCAGGGCAAGGGCCGAGGCTCCTTTACTGCGTTTCGACAAACGACTTTAAGCTCTGCTTTGCCTTCAGCTGAAACCCAGCCTGCACAGTCAGCTGTGCATGATGCGGCCGAGGATCCTGTTTCGCAGGTTTTTGAGTGCATGCTTGACATGAGTGGCCCACACCCTCGATGGTTGCAACCCAGCGACATTCTACCTAATCTTTTCAACATGTCATCCCAAACTTTTCAGGAAGCTGTGGGTGCACTCATACACGTGGAAGCAGTCAAGAAAGCAGCCGATGGCCAGCTGAGACTCACAGCGAACGCATGGCGCTGAAAGTTCCTGCCGCTTCTTAGGATGATGTTGATGATAATTTTTATGATGACGTTGGTGATGAGTCTTAGGATGATGTTGATGATAATTTTTAGGATGACGCTGGTCATGAGTCTTAGGATGATGTTGCTCATGTTTTAGGATGATGTTGATGATGATTGCTACGACGATTTCTTTGGGCCTGCTTTCTACAGGGAGGGTTGATGGTGAGACAACCCGGAAGCAGGCTTAAAGAAATCCGCGCACATGTTTCTAAATAATGTTGATGATGATTTTTAGGATGATGTTGGTGACGATTCTTAGGATGATGTTGATGATGATTAATGTTTGATGTTTCATGATGAGGGTTCATGTTTCATGTTTGATGGTGGATGATGATGTATGATGTTTGATGTTTGAAGTTTGATCATGTTTGATGTTTGATGATGGGTGATGTTTCATGTTTGATGTTTGATGATGGATGATGATGATAGTTTGATGACGAATGATGATGCTTCATGTTTGGTCATGGATGATGATGATAGTTTCATGACGAATGATGATGCTTTATGTTTGGTCATGGATGATGGATGATGTTTGATGATGGATGATGATGAGCGATGATGGTGGTTCATTGAGGCGCCAGGTGGTTGGTAGG